TTCTGTTTGCAACAATCCCATCCTTTATGTCACTGTGCGCAGCGTCCTCAGCAAAGCAATGCAGTGTTTGTTTCATGTTTTTCCTCTCGTTGCTAACTTCCCTGACCTTGTGGTTTTGGTTGCGTAGGAAGCATTGCGACAAACATGTCGATGCAAAAAGCTCTGACGGAGGATCGACTGTGCACATCTCTGAACAGGCTCAGAACTCACATCAGGACGGGTGTGAATTTTAATCACTGTTGGTTCAGTGCCATGGGAGGTCATCACTGCCATTCAGAGGTGCCCAGAACTGTAGAAAAAGTACCATTTGGATCCATTTCACTTATTGCTTGTTGTTGTGGATTGAGCTTCAGTATTTATCTTATGACTAGGAAAACTCTGTCACATATTGGAAAACACCAGCCTAATGACAAGAATTCCCCATCATGACTCCCATATAACTTTTGATTTGACTCAGCTTCACACTACTGGTTAACACTGCTGACTACACTCATGTGTGAGGCATTCAGGTGCATCTTTAAAGAATAAATTTCATATTGTATAAAGCCTTTGTAAGTTTCTTTAACACTACAGTAGGTTCGAGCAAAGTTTGCGTTAAAGGTTTAAATATTGTGGGCTCTTGTGTGGCCATTTTCAGCCACAGATGAATACACATTCTATGCAAGTGAGTTTTGTCTAAGAGCAGGGCGAGCATGATAACTGAGTAAAAAAACAACAACAACACAACAACAACAACACCAGTGCTGTTGTTCATGAAGAAGAAGAAACATAGCACTTGGTGTAACAGTGCCACTCACAAATTTGTTTTTAGTGTAGTATCATCAAGCAGCAACCTCTGGTGTTAAAAGATGACGCCAATGTGGAAGTGCCAAAAACTGCAGTTCCTCAAGTGTCCACTTGAGGCTGGCTGCAAAAGACCTGGGAGACTTATACACATATCATATTGAAATGTCAATTTTGACAGAAATGAATATGTTTACAGCCTGGTACAAAAACGATTCTGGTTTAAATAGTTCAACTCTTTATCGGCACACACCATACGGGGGAGGAATGACTTTTAGAAGTCATCCATCTTGATTTCATGAAGGATAAGAGATATGTCTAATTAGATGCATGACAGATCTTACTGCTGAGAAGCTTGACGCGCTGAGGCTGTTTTCTCTGGGCGCTTAAGGCCCGCCTCAATTGCACCCCTTGGTCTGTTACTAGGTTGACCCAAAGTTTGGTTGAGATAGCATTTTCAATATGGCCGCCACCATTGATGCACTTCAGAAACCAATGGGTGATGTCAGTGAGACCACGTCCATGTTTTACACAGTCTATGAGTATTTCAGGCTTTTGTAGTCGAAAAGTCAATTTTGTTTTTATTGCACTGTTTTCTTGACGGCCCTGGTGTCTTTGACAATGTTTTATTTGAGTTGTTGATGTATTCTGTGGCAGCTGTTAAGTGCAAACATGACACTTACATCTGTTAGAAATCCACACCTGTTAGACATTTAAAGTTTACGAGGTTTATACAGTATGTGTGATGCTCAAATCCAGATGGAGTGTCAGTAGCGGCTAACTACAGTGCAGATGAATGCATTAGTTTTTTTAAGAAGCTGTCAGGACTGTTTTGATAGAGCCTCTTTTTTAATTTCAACATGAGAAACATGAAACTCTTACAGACAGAGACTCTATAATTATCAGGACATGGTCACACAAATAGAGTCAGGGAAACATGCTACCACCTAAAGCAGCATGCTCTTATTATTCCCATGTTGTCTAAAGGCATTCGAGGGTCGTCCAGCAGAACCTCATGATGGTTTGTTGATTTGTTTAGTAGAGTGAGAAACTCAGCTTGTTACCACCTGTTGTGAGCCAAAATTAGAGGTTGAAGCGGTAACCTTCTTTTGTCCCATCTCAGGGGCTTCACAAATCAACTCACTTACTGTCTATATCATTGTGAGAGAAAAGCAAATCATATGTTTCAATCAAGAATGTAAGGCTTAAGTTGTACAAATTTTTAACATTAGGAATCAAAATCACCACCTCTAAAGTTTAGCTTCATCGTTAGGTGGTAACAGAGTGGATTGAAGTCAATGGAATGAGAAACAGGCAGGAGGGATATTATCATTCCAGCAGCCTGAGAACCAAATACAGAGTGAGAGAGAGAGAGAGAGAGAGAGAGAGAGAGAGAGAGAAAGATATCCAGGGTTGCACAAGAATACAAGTCATGCTTACTCTCAGGATGTGTTGTCTTTCATGCTGGGGAGAGAGGGGGGAAGAGTATACACACAGGGAATAAAAAATAAAATGAAATAAAACAACAGAAAATGGGAAAAAGTCCAACAAACACACTTCAGGAGAAACTAGGGGTTTGACACTGAGCGGTGTAAAGTCCAACGCTCTCATGGGCTTAATGAACACAACACGCTGCTTAGTCTTCTGAGTTTCAAAGGAGCTTAAAATAAAAAAAGGAATTAAGTAGTTGTTCGACAACCTGCCACATGTAAAAAGAATTATGGTTAGGTCAATAATAGTGATGGAGCACCATCTTGTGGCATAAAATAAAACTGCAATACTTAGTAAAAACTTCACAGACATAAAGAAGACACTTTGGTAAAATGATTGCCCTTGGTGATAGACTTTGTCCGACTTACTCTCCCCATATCTATGCCTTCTTGCATTTACACATGTCTACCTGTTGCTCTTTTTAAACCCATGCTAATCCCTCCCTGGAGGACCAGTGACCCACAGTAGTTAGCTGGTGCTCCAGTAAACGGGGTCAAGACCACAAATCTTTCATCTTGTGAAGCAGCACCTGCTGCCACTAAAAAAAAAAAATACAGCTCCAAGAGAATCCCAGGAGTCACCCACCTGACATGAAGTCACATGAGCACACACAAACACACACATTAATTACACAAGTTCAGACGTTATAAATAAAAAACAAAAAGGTGTGACTTACGTTGTACCAGCTTTGGCTCTTCTGTGGAGAGAGAAAGAGAGAGAGAGGGTTTACTTCACTCTGAATGTTGGACAGACTGTAGCAGGTGTGTGTGCTTCCATAGGCATACAGAAGGTGTGGCATGAAAGTCACATTATACCTCATTATGTTACAACAGTTACATGAAGTTGACATAAACGCACTGATTTTTGATTCAACACTTATTGATACTGAGCTTCACACTGCTGAGGGAAACGTAATTCACTCAGTTTGATCAACTCGTCACTCAAAACACACAGATAATTTCCAGAATGACTCAAAGTAATACAATTCAAATATTTAATAGATCTTCTATTCACTAAATAGAAAATACAAAGTAAAATGTTTTTTGTGGCTTAACTGGATAAACTTAAAACTCTTGATCTGCCTTTTACTGCTCAGGTAAATTAGTATACTGTAATTGTAATGTGCACGCACACACGCCCGCACGCACACGCGAACACGCGCTCACGCACACACACATTCAGAAATGTTTTAATAACATATGACAGTAAATCAGAAGACAATATTTAATGATTTAATCAACACATGTTTTTTTGATATTCATGTCTGAAGTTGGAGTTGTCCATCACTCATCATTTCTTCACCCTCTATGAACAAACCATTACCAATCACTTACAGCTTTATATCAGCAGAGGGCAGCAGAGATGCATTTGAATCATTACTATGACAATACAAACAATTAAGAGCAACAAGTCCCAGAGGAGAAACATGCAGGTGATCATTCAGAGGGTCAACAAGGAAGAAAGGGATTCAGAGGGAGAAGAAGAAATAGAGCAAGGGAGAAGTGATATCCAGTGTCTGATTCCAGGAGTTAAACAAATAAAAAGGTACCTCATTTGAAGCTGATAAGAAAACAGAAAAAAGCCAACGGGAAAAATTTGGCACCTGGCAGCTCACTAGCTTTACCAAATGCCCTCTCCAGTTAAAATCCCCCTAGTTCATTTTACCTGAGTCCTTTCAAAACCCTGTGGTTATTAGTGTGCATGGCTGTAAGTGGGCAAAGAGCTGCAGAAGCAGGCCTGAGGCCTGGCTGTGACGAAAGCTAGGCTAATGTGGACTAATCTGATCTGAAGGTGAAAGAGACACGGGGGGGGGGGGGTATTACTTTGAGGTCACTGTCTGAATAAGGTGTGTTCCATTGTGTGTGACTTTGTGTGGCTGCATGCTACTGAGTGTGCAAGAATAATGAGAGAGAAAGACAGAGAGAAAAGGGAAGAGACTAAAAGAGTGAGAGAGAGAGAGGGAGAGAGAAGTTGTCTGTCATGATATGATGTCCATGAAATATCTATTAATAGATCAAATCGTGCTGAGATGTTTTGGTAAATTGTCGTATGAAACTTTTCCTCTGATAAAGCCGTTAATGAACTGAAGAGAGAAAGAGAGAGACAGAGAGATAGAGAGAGAGGGAGAGAGAGAGAGACAGAGAGAGAGAGAGAGAGAGGGAGAGAGAGAGAGAGAGAGAGAGAGAGAGAGAGAGAGGGAGAGAGAGAGAGAGAGAGAGAGAGAGAGAGAGGGAGAGAGAGAGAGACAGAGAGAGAGATAGAGAGAGAGGGAGAGAGAGAGAGAGAGAGAGGGAGAGAGAGAGAGAGACAGAGAGAGAGAGAGAGAGAGAGAGAGAGAGAGAGAGAGTGGTAGAGGAAAGTAAGAGAGGGAGAAAGAGATACTGCTGCTTTGACACATGCACAAAACTCCTGAAAACTTAAATTTTCAGAGTGAGCTGCATGTGTGAACGCAAACAGCCAAATTTTCTGTTTGTACCTTTTTCTGCCCAAAGAAAATTTTTAGTGGGAAGTCGGGGTGAGTCAGGGTGAGTCGATGTGAGAATGCAGCATGAAAGGAAAATGTTGATAGTGTTTTGCCTGAAACTTCTATGTGCCTTACAGTTTTTTGGGGTCTGTTTTAATAATTATATGATTTGGTGTTAATGTCATCACGTATGGGGCTGGATTACAGAATTGATTTGCAGCCTAAAAAAAAAAGAGATCACAGCTTTCTTTTGGATATTTGTCTTGACATGAAAACAGATTTTTTTTTGGGAAAGGGAAATCAAAAGTAAAGTGTAAAACAATAATGTCTGCTTCACAATAACAAACAGCTCCTTGAATGTGATACTGAGGCTGTGTTATTATTGCAATTTAATCAGGAGAGCTGCCGGAAATGTCACACAGAGAGATCTGTTAGTTGGGGTTTAAAATCCCACAGTCCTGAATTGCCTCTGCAAAGAATTCTAATAGTGTTTAAGTTTGTAGATAAAAAAACCAAAAGGTTGATATTGAGATAACAAGTATTTGATCATGTAGAATCCAAAAACTAAAAATTCTTTTTTGTGCATAGTTCATAAATCAATGTCCTACATTTATTAAGGGGATGAAAAGCATGTGGAAGGACACAATCTATCGGGGGGGGGGGGGTCCTACAGTCGCACATTTACAGAGAAAGTGGGGGGGGGGGGGGCCAGGGGATTTTATTAATGGCCAGTGGGGATTGTCAATGGGTCAAATGAAAACAAGAAGAAATGCTTACTTTAATCAGGTTTAGTCTGTCATACTGAAAGAAAATTAAAGAGAAAGCAAAATGTTAACCAAAAGCAGTGAGCAACGTCAACACAGAGAAAAAGAGAGAAAAAGAAGCTGAACGTCCTATGAGGCTGTGACTCACATGAAACCTATAGAAGAACCCTGCCAACACAATGTGAGAGCTTTAGAGGTCTGAATGTGTCACTGTGCTGCTAAAGCCGACTCTCATCTGATGGATTATTGTTCTACTATTGACCGTTTGTTCATACAGCTCTTTTTTGCAGAAGGCACTCTTTTTATTTGGATTGCATTAGGGCAAGGGTGATCAAGCTCACGTTGCGGGGACGACCTCACGCCATGTCTGGGGTCATGTGACCATAGCTGACAGCGGAGGCTCACGTGGGGGGGATTGTAACAGGTGGGAGGAGGGGGGGGGAGGGCTTTGACTATGGCACAGAAATGAATAGTGATGTAATCAATTGGTGTATGTGTGTGTGTGTGTGTAACAGATTGTGTATACTGCAGAGCTGCACAGGCTACTATCAACAACGACCTTCCCTTTACTTTCTCCCCCTGTATGACTGTCCCATCTCTGCTGGTGTCTATCACATTTTGTAATAAATGAAACCCTACATAGTGACTATATTCTCTGCCATAAAAAAAAGGAAAAACATGAAATGAGGACTGACGTGGATGATGATGAAGCAACAAAAGGAGCGACGCACTAAAACGTGACTCTAGCCTGCGGTGTTTTACAGGAAGCGGGAGGGGCATTTTGGGCTTATAGTGCGAGAAAAAGAGAGCGAGCGGGGATCCTTTCATCTGGCAAAAGTGAGGCTGCACAAATAATGATCAAGTCCTCCAGCTCTGGACTGAGATGCTGGCAGGAGGTTGAAGAGTTTATCCCTTTTTGCTGCCAGGCAGTTTCTCAGCATGACAGCTATAAAGCCCTCATAACTGAAATGTAACAACAGGATAAGTCTGAGAGGGATGGGACATGGACCAAAGTGGAGGAAAAAAGAGATATTAGTTGAGACTGTTATTTGCAGTCTTTTTTTCCAATCTGAAAAAAATCTCTCCAACTACGCTCCATTTCCCGTGTTTATCTTTCATGACATTTTTCATTTCTCTTTCTATTGCAGAAATAGAAAAGCAGATGTTGACTTTGATTTTGTTTATATACAGTATGGATACCAAGCCTCAAACTATCGTTTAAAAATACAATCAGGAATGTGCTACATTGCATATCACCAGGAGAGAAAAGGAAGGAAGAGGACAGGAGATGAGAGGAGAGAAAAGGAAGATAGGAGGTGAGTGTGGCTAGGTGGGGCTCTGTTTTAAGAAATGTCCATCTGCCATGGTTGTGGGTGCAGATGGGGCTTGTTAACAGGTTGCAGTGTGCACAGGAACAAGCTGGGTTCAGGGTGAAAGCATTGCAAACAGGGTTCTGGACATTTCCACAGAGTGGCTCACAAGACACGAGGTGGGGCAGAGGGAGGGTGGGCACAGAAATACTTGAAGAACAGAAAAAAGAGTAATGCTTACTTTGGATAGTCGCTTGTGAGACTAGCATGCAATCAGGAGAAGAACAAAGAAAAATCAGATAGAAAAATGAAAAATTAAATTAAATTAAAAAATTAACCGCAAGAAGAAACAGCTGAAAGTACAAACAGAAGAGCGAAACAGTCATTATCAGATGGCACACATTATCATATGGCATGTAGCAGCAGCAGCAGCAGAGAGAGAAGGCGTGCACAACGTGTTGTGGAGACAAAGAATGTAAAAAAACAAACAAACAAACAAAAAAAACAAGAGAGAAACAAACAGATTTGACACAGATGAGGACAGAATGAGAAGGGTTAATGAAGATGAAAGTGACATGGCTTTTCTTTAACATTTTGGAAGCTCAAAAGAGTGCTGAGCTTTCAGAAACATTAGCGCCACATGCTCCTTTCTGTGAAAAAAACCCTGAAAGATTCAGTCCATCACGGAGTTCATTATGTGAAGGAGAGATGCAGATGATGGGGAAGACAGCAATTACAACACCTGGACAACTTAAAGGGGTTGTCTTTTTCTATACATGTCCTTAAGAACTTTTGATGCATACATGAAATCAAACTGCCCCCCCTCTTCCCAACTTCTCTTTTGTAACCACAAGTTACCAGTGATCAAATGTGTGTCTGTTTAGTGACAAGGGAACACTTTGAAAACTCTGTTAAAGGGAGGTCACGGTTCACTTTTAAAGGGGCACTATGTTGATTTGGTAGTGAAGTTTGAAGTTGGAGAAGTGAAAGAATTCCATACTATATTTTCTGAACTAAATACACAAAATGTATTCTAAGGAAAAAATGGGTCCCTGGAACACAGTTTGGAGCTTAAAAGCTATCAGGATATATATATACATATATATATATATATATATATATATATATATATACACACACCACATTTCTCCAACTTTCCCATTTCTCTACTAAAACTACATAGTGCACCTTTAAATGTCTGTCTTCAAATGATGCTTACAAGAACATTGAAAGAGTTTATGCTGGCTGTCATTCTTGCTTAGATGCACTCTCAAAAGAAGAAGATCCATCTCAGACAAATGAACCTTCATTTGAGCTTCACTACACTTTGGATTTTTCTTTTTCTTATTACAAACCAGGGTTGGGAATTCAATTCTTCGTCTACCTGCCACTGTGACTGGTGGATTTAAAAACGCACCACTATCTCATTTTCTTTTACCTGCCACATTTTAACTGGCAGCGTAATCTAATGAGGTACAATATCAAATATAGGCTTATGGTATTCAAGTAATCTGCAGTTTTATTAAGTTTCCACTAGAAAGCTCTTTGTCGTGCTCATAAACAGAAAATATTTCTTTATCATTTTGAGGCAGGTAAGAGTCTCCATTGCTGCCATGTCCACAAAGATTAATGTAGCTTATTAAATTGCAAATAAACCTCAACTGAGAGGCCAGATTATCAATTTGTTGTTATAAAAGCATATTTTTTAAAAACACTATGTTAGATTACTTTTATTTAGCCGCCACTGTAACAGGAAAGTTGAGCAAATTCAGCCGTTACTGCAAAAAACACACACCCGTATTTGGCAGGCGACGGGTGCTAATTTCCAACCCTGTTACAAACACAAACTGTCTTGATGGCCATAATAATCTGAATGACACATTAAAGGCTTTATATGCAATTTTTTGATCCAGCAGATGTCGCCCTTGAGCACCAGCATGAAACCAAAACAACTTGCGCTGCATTGTTGTGTTAGCATGCTAATGCTAGCGATCTTTATTATGCTCGTATCTTCACACTGCATGTAAATTTACCTGAAATGAGCGTGATCTAGAAACACAGTTAAGCAGTGAGTACAGTATGTTATTCTTCTTTTCTCTAGTCCCTCAATTAAACAACTTTTATACACGAGGGGAGGAGTCAGCCGTCTGTCCTGACGATGTAAACAAAGTGAAGATAGGACTCTGAAAACTCTGAAAACATCACAGACAGTGGGACTCGGGTGTTACACCCATTGTAGACAGTCATGACTCAGAGTTATTTTCAGAGGATATACTTGATTTCTATTACAGTGTGAAAAATCACATATAAAGCCTTTAAAGTAAGTATATCTACTGTTTCAATGTTCAAATAAGCACCTTGGAAAACAAAGTCCTGACACTAAAATGTTGGAAACACCAAACTATCCACCATCAGCACAATGTCTGTGCACATTGTGTTTTAAATGTACCCATCTTACAGGTGTAACTATCCTGACTATTGTTGAACCAGACTGTGCTCTGCAGACCATGTACAATATGTCCTATGCACTGAACCACTGATGAACTCATAGTAAGCTGATTAGGGCTGGGCGATATGAACCAAAACTCATATCTTGATATTGATTAGCTGAATGGTGATACTCAATATATATCGATATGTATTTTATTAACAGTGAAAACACATGTAAAAATAAACTACCTGTTTGTGAATTTAAAAAGTAATATTATGAAATAAAAATGTTCCTTAAATACAATAAAAGAGAGAGAGGAGGAGGAGCAGACAGTCATCATCAGTGAGATGAGAAAAAGGTGACCTGGCACCTCTGTAACGTTATTTTAATGCAACATAAACTAAATCCATATTAACGATATTGTCTTACCCTATATCTTCTTTGAAAATATATCGATATATCTTAGAAACTCAATATATTGCCCAGCCCTAAAGCTGATGCATGAGTTTCTTCATCCAACATTTGAATGCTGACTCTTCCTCACCCTCGTTTGATGAGCATAACGATGGGACATAGTAAGCTGAGATCAACTACAACAAATGAATTAGCTAAAGAAGACAAATCTTGTCAATTGTAGTATCATGAATAAGGAAGGAGAGTAACAGACTAGGGAGTATATGGGATGTTAAAATAAAAGGCTGGAATGGAGAGGAAGGTGCATTCTCTCCTGAAGCCGGGAGAGTGATAGCTGCAGCCTGCTTGTTACAATCCTGTGTGTGGAAGTCAATAACCAATCATAAAGGCTGCTCAGCTAGAATGGGAGGAAGGGCAATACATCTGGGCCAGCTCTGACGTGTTTACGCAGTCACAGTTTATGTGTGGCTGCACATTCGACAGAGTAATCTCCACTACAGTATCATAAAGTCACTTGTGATCCCTGTAAATTTAGCATGAAGCACGACTCAACACTCAGCAGCTAACTTCACTGTAGCCTATCTGATTAGTGTCTTCTTCACACAAGGCAGGCGCAGAATGGCGCTTTAATTGCCTTAATTCTCGTACTTTCCTGTAGTAACAGCGTCAATGTAAATGCAATTTGTTCTTTAACTTCAAAAGAATACAGATGCTAGTTTTTCCACATGTTGTTTAGATGTGCTGTGCAGTGTTACTGTCCATACGGAGCAGGAAGAAGCATGTTGTGTTATTATGAATACTAACAAATGCCCTGCCATATAACTCGCTAAACAATTACTTAAGCTTCTCCCTGACCAGTCTAACCTTTAATCAGTGTGCATGACATTGACATCTTGCCCCCCCCCTCCCTAGTGAAGCCTTTCACAGCAGCAATTCGGTCAAAATGTTAGAACAGCTTCGAGAAGCAGAAATTGCTCCATGATTGTTTTCTACCAGGAATCGCTCCTTACGGCACCAACTCAAGGACAGACTGTCGAGCACTCTCGATACAACTCAAAGTTGTTTTCAGTGCTGGGAGAGCTTAGATAAATATGTTTTCTCTAGTCTCGTGTCATTGCAACACACTTTTAATTACAAGGCCGACTGTCTTATCAATCAAAACGGGCACTTGAGAAACATGTCAGGAGCATCTCCCGGTCACTCACCTTGGAGTTCTTTCCCCCGCTTCTCGCTGACTGCAGGGAGTATGTTCTCTGGACAACCTGCTCGGGCGTAGAGGGGGATTTGTCAGAGGAGTGGTCTGAACCCTTCTCAACCATATTCTCACCCTCCTGGCTCTGTGGTGTAGGAGAGCGCGAGCGTTTACGCAGGACTGGTGAGCAGGCAGGCGTGCTCTTGTTTGAGTTACTGGCAGTGCTAAAAAGAAAAGAGAGAGAGAAAAAACAAGACAGATGAGCATGTTGTCCACTTATTCATAATCACTTCTACAGACCAACTTAGTGGTTAAAAACAGGATTATGTTATTACATTATTACCACAAAAACCCTTCTCGAGTATATGAATGTAAGCACAATGTAGGTTGGGTTTATGGATTAGTGTGACAGCAGCACACCACTAACACCATCCCCTCATGCTTACATCATCTGGCACTTAATGGGCTTGAAGCACCATGTGCTAACCTTGCTAATAACAGCTAAGCTAATATGAGAAATCAACAAGGAAAACAACAACAAACGTAGCTGCACTGAGGAAAACAAATGTAGTAGGACACCATCACACACCGTCTGATCCGATATCCTGTAAGATATGAGGTCTGACTCTTTAAATTGAAAATAAAACTGTTTGTCCTGAAATAATTAAAATAAAAAAATGTCCCCATGGCAGTAGCAAAGCTCCTCTGAAAGATTTAACAATGATTAACTGAACAGACACAAGATAGGGAGACACACATGGATGTAAGACTTCATTAGCTCAAACAGAGGAACACGTTGACTTTAACTTTCAAACAAAGTGGAAGAACTGTTGTTGTAAGACGGGTAGTCCCTGACCCTCCATCATACACAAAGTCCCTATCAGGTAGCCTCAGTAATCCAGCACGAGACACTCTCTTCTTTATACACACACACACACACACACACACACACACACACACACACACACACACACACACACACACACACACACACACACACACACACACACACACACACACACACACACACACACACACACACACACACACACACACACACACACACACACACACACACACACACACACTGACCCATATACACACCAAAGGATCAGCAAGAAGCTCTTCTCCTCACAATGACAGAAGCTAACAAAAGGATTGGTAAGTGATCTGTGTGGCTGTGCGCCCGACAGGCACAGTTACTTGACATGGCGTCATGCAAGCCATTACGTCACTGCCAGCCAATAGATGCCGCTCGTGGCCATGAATTACTGATCTACTGTTACATTTAGGACCTTCACTGCAGCGTAGAGGACTGAATCATAGAGTGCCCTGTTGACAGCTTCCGTCCTCCTGGCAGAGCTTTAGCAACTGATCCAATCTAAAAGGAAGGGACAACTCAGAGTATTTGCATCTATTTAATGTATGAGGATAAATAATTCCATCTGGTGTAATAATGTACCTCTGACATCAATTTCTATAATTATGAAATGGTCTGTTGTTCAGTGCATGAACACGTTGACTTACAAAATACCTCACTGACCTGTTTTTAAGTGAAATTGCAGGACATTCTCGAAAACTGTTGCCATGTGATTCTTTTGTGCAAGGATGCAGTTTAAAATTGTAATTTCTCAACCCATTTATTAATTTAATATTGGCACATCTTTTCAGACATTCTATAAAAAGTGTGGTTTATTAGTTAGTGTATCTCATCAATCCGGGCATAAAGTCTGAGAACAAATGCTTCCAGTAGAAGATTCTGATTGTTAACATTGCTCTACGTGAGAATTCAGACTTCTTCTCACCAATAAAACTCTTACAGGTCAGGCACCATCACATGCTAAAGAGCTCATAGTACCCTCTGCCCCTTTAAGACCATTGCAGGCCTGCTTACGATTTTATTTTATGTTATTTAACCTTTATTTATCCAGGAGAAAAACTCATTGAAATTACAAAGTCCTGGCCAAGAGAGACAGCAGAGGTTACACAATTTCCACCAAACAACCATCAGCTAAACTTACAAACATAAGACATATAAATACATTGAAAGACATGAAATAACAAGTAAAACATCAATTAACGGTATGTGTCAAGATCGACTACAATCATGAGGCAGAACATCTACAGCCAGATGTGTCTGCCCCCAAGTCATATAACATCCGCTTGAAAGCATCCAATGAAGACAGCTCCTTAAAGGCTTTATATGTGATTTTTTTGATCCAGCAGATGTCACCCTTGAGCACCGAGCACCAGCATGAAACCAAAACAACTCGCGTTGCATTGTTGTGTTAGCATGCTAATGCTAGTGATCTTTATTATGCTGGTATCTTCACACTGCATGTAAATTTACCTGAAATGAGCGTGATCTAGAAACACAGTTAAGCAGTGAGTACAGTATGTTATTCTTCTTTTCTCTAGTCCCTCAATTAAACAACTTTTATACACGAGGGGAGGAGTCAGCCGGCTGTCCGGGCGATGTAAACAAAGTGAAGATAGGACTCTGAAAACTCTGAAAGCTTCACAGACTCGGGTGTTACACCCATTGTAGACAGTCATGAAAAAAATCGCATATAAAGCCATTAAGTTTGTGGTCTTTTTGTAATTTTTCCCAAGCGAAGGGAGCAGCAAACTTAAACGCCTCTTTTCCCCATTCAGTTCTGACTTTTGCAACAGACAGTAAGAAAAGACCCTGAAACCAAAGATTATAAGTTCCTGTATTTTTAACTGATGTAGACCAGAAGGTAGGCTGGAATATGCCAGTGTTTTAGTCTACATATAGACAAGACTGTCCAACACGCGCATACAGTCAACAGAGTGGGTGAGAAATTTAAATGAGTGATCCAGAGGATGTAAGTTTTGAGAGGAGGCAAGCATGTAGTCCCTCATCATAGTCCAGTACGGACATCAAAGTGGCAGCAATCAGTCTCTTTTTAGACTCAAATTAAAGGATGGATTTGATTCTCAAATATAAACCCAGTTTTAGTTTGAACCTTTGTACCAACTACTGAATGTGAGGAGTAAAAAGACTCATCAGTTAACATTCTTAAGATGTCTTTTGGGTCAAAACAGACTTGATTAGTTTACCCTGAGGAGTGAAAATTGAAGGCAGGTTGAGCTCTGTGGCTTAGATTTAGCATTTGAAAACAACATGACTTTGGGTTTTTTAGCGTTTAAAACAGGTTTTAAATTGTACATTTTGTTGTTTCATGTTGTGTGTCATTGTTGTGTTTCAAACTGTAAAAAGATGTAAGTGGGAGAATGTTTACTGGGTGCTAATGGGTGCTAAGCAGTACATGTCGTCTGCGTACAAATGAAAATTAGTGTTACAGACATTTTGAACAATGGTATTAATGTAGAGAATGACTTGTAAAACCAGACTGAAGATACCTACAGTAAGATCTCAAAATGTAGCATGAAAGGTTAGAATTTATTTTGGTTATTCCCCACCTGAATCTGAACGTTAACTTACAAATACACTGTGAAAATAACGATGCAATACGAGGGCTTTAAGGAATATTTGTCACAGATATCACAGCATGCTTTGGGTCCCAACATAAGCAGATGTGTCTTTGAATGCAGCATTGAGATAAAAGGTTATTTTCAAATCATGACAAGTCACATTTACTAGAGATACTTGTAGGGTTATGGCAGTTAAAATGCCCATGTGGTGCAATAACATGCAGGGTTGGAGACCCTTGGTTGATCTCAAAGCTACCGGCCATTATGATGTGGAAAAGGCAAAATATATTGATTTTTTTTCAAAGCCTTAAGGACTTCCATTGGTTTCCTGGAGTTCAAAAATTGACCTCCTATTCCAGCAACAGACTTTGTACTCCAAAAGATTTCTAATCCAGCTTCTTTTTTCTGTGGAGCCCTGCTGTATCACCTACTAACCGAGTTTCCAAATACCTGGAACAATTTGTGTCTAAAAACAGCTAATAACAGCTGGTAGATTGTTGGGGAGAGGTGATTACACATACGGTGGTAATTAACAGAAAACCAATAACTCAGCATGTTGTACACAATTGGGATTTTTTCCAAGAAAGGTATAAAAAACAATAGCATAACCACTTCTCAGTAGCAGAGAATGATCTCATGAGGTGTTCCAGTTTTTTGGTTTCAAAATGATATATTTCATCAAACCAAGATGGATACAGATGAGAATCAGTGGATCATTATAATGAATGATTACAGTTGTCATTGTAAGGCATTGCACTCTACAATCCAAACCCATTCCAAATGTAGAAATGCCTTAATTTCTCAACACAAGCTGTTCTCTCTTTTCACTAATATCCTGTATGTTTACCCTTAGTGTCTACCAAATACAAGAGTTAACAGATAGTCAGCAGGAGCATCATGGCGTTGACCAATTGGTGTGAATTCATCACCTATGTAGGGCTTTGTCTTATAGGATAAATGTTTTAACAGGGAATACATGGTGCATGTACATACGGTATAAATGTTTATATTTGTTATTATACACAGTCAGACTTTTGGGATGTGTTTATCATGCATGTATATGTCAGAATTATTATTACATTTAGTTTACCCCCTAACCCAAACATCTTCAACAACCTCACGTGATTATCTCTGCGAGAACTTAAATAAAGGATGATGATGATGATTAATCTAATGTAATCTAATGATTATACGATCATGAAACAACATAGGGAACAAACTATTTCCAAAACGGATCTAGTTTCATCTACCAACAATGCATATTCCCCTGCAAACAACATACAAGCTGAACACAAACAAAGATTTAAACACACAGACATGTTGCTTCAGGAGCCGGGGATTGAACCCCCAAGCTTTCGGTAGAGAGACGACCGACTCTACCAACTGAACCACAGTCACAGTTATGGTGCCCCTTTAGTTATTATATAGGAACTATCAAAGTTTCAGTTTTTATCATATGCACAGTAGTGCAAACACACTCCCCATTATGCAGGTCACATTTGTCAAACTGGGTTTGTTTGGTGACAGAGTCCAATAAAATGTTTCCTTTGGGGACAATAAAGTATTATCTTCTTTCACTTTAGGCATAATCCTAGCCCCCTTTGGTGTTTATCATTTGACATAAAGCTAATATCTTGGTCTATCAGGCAAATGAGGCTGGGACAAAATAATAACATTAGATGAAAAATATCTGCTTTATTATAGCATGAAAAGTATTTAAATTATGCCTGAGGAGCACAACGACTTGTGATCTAAAGCTGTGATT